CTAGTACTGGTGGCGCTGGAGCTGGAGGTTCTGGAGCTGCTGAGGGTGCTCGTGCTGGAGGTTCTGGAGCCGCTGGAGGTACTGGTGCTGAGGGTACTGACACCGGAGGTTCTGGAGCCGTTGGGGGTGCGGGCGCTGAGGGTTCTGAGTCTGCTGTTGCGCGGTCTCCTTGGAGTAGCCGCCTTCGTCCACGTGTGCCTCTCACCCCACAGCAGCTGCAGGACTGGTACGGTCGCCGTCAGCGTCGCGCTGCTGGAGCTAGGAGTGGTGCTGGTCCTTTGTCTACTGGAGGTGCTGGAGTCGCTGGTTCTGGAGGTGCTCGTGCTGGAGACACTGAGGCTGGAGACCCTGGGACTGGAGGTGCTGGTTCTGGGGGTGCTGCTGCTGGAGACACTGAGGCTGAAGACCCTGGGACTAGAGGTCCTGGGTCTGGGGGTGCTGCTGCTGGAGACACAGAGGTTGGAGACCCTGGGACTGGGGGTGTCGGCTCTGGGACTGGAGCTTCTGGAGCTGCTGGAGGTACGGGAGCTGCTGGAGGTACTGGAGCTGCTGGAGGCACTGGAGCTGCTGGAGCTGCCGGTACTGGTGCAGCTGCGCCGACACGACTGTTCTTCGCTCCGCCGTCTCCGTCGTCTCTGCCGCCGCCTGACTCTGCTCTTCGTCAGGTTGTTACTCTCCCGTCGTCTACTGGTCTTCCGTTACAGACTGGCTCACCGCTACCTGCTCCCTCTCCTTACACTGAGCAGACAGGCAGTCCTGCTACGCGTCGTGAGCCTGCGTCGCGTCCTGTCTCGCCTGTTCGTTCTGGTCGTACCGTTCGTCGTGTCGCTCGTGCGCGTCAGCCGGCTGTCCCCAGCGCACACCTTGTTGTCCGTCGTCCTTCCTCTGCTCCGCAGCCTGTTCCTCTGCCGTCTCCCTCTGCGTCCTCTCTACCTGCCGTTCCGGACCCTGAGTCTGACCGGTTTCGTACTGAGCACCCTACTGTCACGCGTCTCCTAGCCACTGTTGTCACTAACCCGTCGTTTGAGTCTACTGCTGCGTCTGCCTTGGTCGCTGAGCTTGTTGACTTTGCTGCTGCCTGTCGTCTAGACTACGCCGCCAGTCTTGTTGCTGAGTCTGAGTCTGTCTGTCCTCCGTCCGTCGGGGGTGAGTGTGCTCTTCGCACGGACGTCCTTGAGGACAGGCAGGAGGAGTTCCAGTGTCTTGCTGCTGCTTTACCTCATCTTGTGTCCTCGCTGCTTGCCCCAGAGGGAGACCCGGATGCACCAGACATCCCGACTCCGCGCTCTTACGCAGAGGCGATAGAGGGTCCCTACTCCTCTCAGTGGCAGGCAGCCATGGACGCAGAGATGGCTTCCTGGAAGTCCATAGGCACCTACGTTGACGAGGTTCCCCCACCTGGGGCGAACATCGTCAGTGGCATGTGGATTTTCAGGGTGAAGCGGCCGCCGGGTTCTCCGCCTGTCTTCAAGGCGCGTTACGTGGCTCGAGGCTTCAGTCAGCGAGAGGGAGTTGACTTCTTCCAGACCTTCTCCCCCACCCCGAAGATGACCACTCTTCGGGTGCTGCTGCATGTTGCTGCTCACCGTGACTACGAGCTTCACTCTCTTAACTTCAGCACAGCTTTCTTGCAGGGCAGCCTGCACGAGGAGATCTGGCTGCGCCGCCCCCCGGGCTTCACTGGGTCGTTCCCTCCTGGCACCCAGTGGAGCCTCCGGCGGCCGGTCTACGGTCTCCGCCAGGCGCCACGTGAGTGGCACGACACACTGAGGACTACGCTTGCGGCTCTTGGGTTCGCGCCTTCTACTGCTGACCCGTCGCTGTTTCTGCGCACCGACACTTCACTGCCACCGTTCTACATCCTCATGTACGTCGACGACTTGGTTTTTGCCACTGCTGACACTGAGGCTCTCGCCCACGTGAAGTCGGAGCTGCAGAAGAGACACACGTGCACAGACTTGGGTGAGCTGCGCAGCTACCTTGGCTTGCAGATCACCCGGGACAGAGCACGCCGCACCATCACCTTGACTCAGTCACACATGGTGCAGCAGGTCCTTCAGCGCTTCGGCTTCACCTGGTCTTCAGCACAGGCCACTCCTCTGGCTACAGGTCACACGCTCTCAGCTCCACCTTTGGACGAGTCCGTAGAGCCGAGTGGTCCTTACCCAGAGCTAGTCGGCTGCCTCATGTACCTGATGACTTGCACTCGACCTGACCTCGCGTACCCTCTTGGTCTTCTGGCTCGCTACGTGGCTCCTGGTCGGCACTGACCTGAGCACATGGCTGCTGCTAAGAGGGTACTGCGCTACTTGTGCAGCACATCAGGCATGGGGCTAGTGCTTGGAGGGACGAGCCCAGTTGTCCTCACTGGACACTCAGACGCTTCTTGGGTTGACGACCTGGCTACTCAGCGGTCGTCACAGCGTTCTACACGCTCGTCTTCAGTTCTCAGCTCCAGTTGTGAGGCTGGGATCTACGCCACAGCCATGGCTGCACAGGAGTTACGCTGGCTCACCTACCTGCTGACTGGCTTGGGAGAGCAGCCTCGTTCTCCTCCAGTGCTGTACGTCGACAACAAGGCCGCCATTGCCTTGTGTGAGGAGCACAGACTGGAGCACAGAACGAAGCACATTGCTCTGCGTTACTTCCTGGCTCGAGAGTTGCAGCAGCGAGGCCAGCTTCGTCTTCGTCACGTGGCCACTCGGGCCAACACTGCTGATATATTCACCAAGGCACTTCCGTCTGGTGATCATCAGCGCTTTTGTACCCTGTTAGGCCTTGTGCCTACGTTTCCACACTTGCTGTAGTCTCTGCTTGTACTGTGATCTATATATATACATGCATGCCTGCTCTTGCTAGGTAGTCATCACTGTACTGTTATTGTTGCATATATATCTCTGCATGTGGACTGGCCTTGTGGCCCTTTGCTTGTGCTCAGAATGTGTGGTGACGTTGAGATCCACCCTGAGCTTGCTTTGCTTCTCTTGACTGGTCGTTTGACCCCTTGTTCTCCCCCACTTTGCCTATGGGGGTGTGTCAAACATATATGTTGCATATTGTCTAGGCTGTAGTGGGGTAGCCCATATGGGGTACAGCCCTATTAGGGTTTACTACTTGTACTCCTGCATGCTGCTAGTTCATTCATTCCTGCTGCTAGATTCTGACAGAAACTGACGGATCGTGTCTGAAACGGCTCACTACCTTGGATAACACGAGAAACAAGCAAGGAGGCAAGCTGAGACCCGTTTGTTTGTACAGCAAACCTAATTAATCCCTTGTGAATGGGTACACTGAAGAGGGGGGCGCTGTTGTAATGTGTGGGGGAGTAGGGTCATGGTGGGTGCTGTAAGTGCCTGGATCAGCCATTCCCGGCCCAAGCCCAAGAAACGGTATGGGAAAGGGACCACCAACCGAGAGAGGGACAGGGAAAGGGGCGGTTACAAGCATGGGCGTGGGAGTGAAATGGGAAGTGTGTTTCACGGCTGCAGCCATGCTGCAATGCTGCTGGAACTGAGGGGGTTCAACAGGTGGCTGATCCGTTTGCTGCTGCTGTTGCTGCTGCTGTTGCTGCTGCTGTTGCTGCTGCTGTTGCTGTTGCTGATGCTGTTGCTGCTGCTGTTGCTGCTGCTGTTGCTGATGCTGTTGCTGATGCTGTTGCTGCTGCTGTTGCTGCTGCTGTTGCTGTTGCTGATGCTGTTGCTGATGCTGTTGCTGCTGCTGTTGCTGCTGCTGGTGCAGTTGCTGTTGCGGTTGCTGCTGCTGTTGCTGCTGCTGCTTCTGCTGCTGCTGCTGTTGCTGCTGGTGTTGCAGTTGCGGTTGCGATGGTGGCAAAAATGTATGGGGTTGCTGTTGTGGTGCCTGCTCATGCACAAACGGAGGGGTTGGCTGAAGAAATAAAAGCTGTTGTGGCACCTGCTGCTGCTGCTGCAACTGCTGCTGGTGTTGCTGCTGCAACTGCTGCTGGTATTGCTGCTGCAACTGCTGCTGCGTTTCAACAGCACTTGGTGCTTCTTTGCCCGCACTGTAAGGCTGAATGCTCCCCACAGGGAACACGCCAGGTACAGGAACAGGCCGGAATGCTGTCACAGCCACAGGGGCACCACCCAATGTTGCTGAACTGGAACTGCCGTTCATAAAGGCACTCATGCTTCCTTCACCTAACGCCTGGTTCACTCCCTGCTGCTGCTGCTGCTGCTGCTGCTGCTGGTGCTGCTGCTGCTGCTGCTGCTGTTGAGGGGGGTTGAGTTGAGTGCCAGGACCGCCACCCCACGGCAGAAACCCTTCTCTACCGCCTGACAGCCGTGGTCCCAACCCAGGGCTGCCCAGCAATGAACTGCCAGTATGTGATCGAGGCGCCAGCACACTGAACGCGCCCTGTGGCGGGCCTGGTCTTAAAGCCCCTCCCGCCTCTGCTGCTATTGGCACCGTTGCTGCTGCTTCTGCTGCTGCTGTTGCTGCTGCTGCTGGTGCTGGTGCTGTGGCTGGAACAGCAGGTGGAGCAGGAAGAGTAGCAGCAGACGGACCCGACACAGACACGCCTGTTGCTGCTGCTGAAACTCCATGCTGCGACGATGCCGTTCCAGCTACTACTGCTGCTGCTGGTGCTGCTGCTGGTACCAGTGCTCCTCCTGCTTCAGTCCCTCCCGCTGTTCCCCCAGAATGCCTGGTTGAACCCTGGCTGGAAACAGGTTCCGTCCCACCAGCAGCTCCTGCTGCTGCTCCTGATACTGGCCCAGCTAACAGGCCACCTGCTGCTGAAAAATTAGTATCGGACGGTGGGTGAAAAGAGGTGGGTGGAAGGGCATACGGGGCTGGGAGAGTTGGGAAGAAGGGAGAAGCGGGGAACCAAGGGGGCGGAAGAGGCGTAGGGGTGGGGAGAGATGGAGCTGCAGAGACTGAGGCAGGTGGAGCAGAGAGAGAGGTTGATGATGCGAGCGGGAGGGAGGAAGCGAGAGGGAGAGAGTAAGTGGGTTGGGTTTGAGAGGTGGTCGTGGACAGGCCTAAAGGTAGCAACCCACCGCTACCAGCACTGCCACCAACAGCAGCGCCAATCGCACCACCAGCACTAGCAGGAGCAGCAGCAGCAGCACTAGGAGCAGCAGAGGAAGGCACAAGCGCAGGACCTACAGACCCAGAGGCTCCCTGAGGTGCGTTAGTGGCCACTGGACGGATAGCAGGAGATGAGAGCCATGCAGGAGCAGTGGGAGCAGCACCCCCTACTGCTGTACCTGCTCCCGCTCCACCTGCTGCTGCCGCCGCTGCTGCTGCTGCTGCAGCGGCCGCTGCTGTGTGAATGTGCACGAACTGAGGGGGAATGTCCATAGGCCTGGGGCCGGTGAGGGGCACTGGCACTGGTACTGGCACTACTGCTGGCACTGGCACTTGCACGGTTGCTGGCGCTAGGGCTTGTACTGGTGTAGTAGCAAGAGGCGCAGTGGCAGGGGGCGGATTTGGCGCAGCAGCAGCTGCCGCTGCTGCTAAGGCCCAGTGGGAAGAGAGGAAGGCAGAGTGGGTGGAGGGAGGAGCAAGAGGAGGAAGCGAGGGGGCAGAGGAGAGAGCGGAATTCTGAGCGCTCTCAAAGGCAGTGGGTGCGGTAGATGAGGTGAATGGAGATGGTGGCAGGGGGGAAGGAGCGAGGACAGGTGTGGACCCAGACAGGGGCATGGAGGCCGTGGGAGGGTGAGGAAAAGGAACGGGTGTTGGAGCGGCAGTGAGGCTGAAGGGATGAACAGAAGGACCAGCAGCAGCAGTAGCACCCGAAGCAGCACCCATACCTGCAACAGTTGCAGCAGGTTCGCTGGTGGTAGAGGGGGCAGCAGCGGCTGCAGGGGCAGCGACAGCAGCAGCAGCAGCAGCAGCGACGCTGGTGGAGGTGGCAGAGGGGACAGAGTAAGTGTTGTTTGAGTAAGTGTTGTTTGAGTAAGTGTTGTTTGAGTAAGTGTTGTTTGAGTAAGCGTGGGAGGGAGTGGCAGTGACAGGTGGGTAGAAAGGATACGGGGCCATGAATACAGCTGGAGTTGAAGAGGCCAGGGCAGGGGAAGGGGCAGGTGCAGCGGTGGGTTGTTGGGAGGGATTTGTGTGGGATGCCTGAGGAATGGTAGGTGGTGGTGCGGATGGGACAAGTGATGTGTGAGGTGATGGGTATGGGATGCCTCCTGTAAGAGGATGAAACTGCTGCTGCTGCTGCTGCTGCTGTTGTTGTTGCTGCTGTTGTTGTTGATGCTGCTGCCATTGCTGTTGTGGCTGCTGCTGCTGCTGCTGCTGCTGCAATTGTTGTTGCTGCTGCTGCTGCTGCTGTTGTTGCGGCAGCTGTTGCTGCTGCAATTGTATTTGTTGGTGCTGCTGCTGCTGCAAT